CCACCACATAGGGGTGCTTGGGGTTGTTCCTGCCCCGATGCAGGACTTTGCACTTCTTGTTGAAGCTGGTCCCCCAGGCTGTTGAGGTGCCTCTGGTATATCACCCACTGCCCCCAGCTTGGTGTCATCAGCAAACTGGCTGTGGCTGAACTCTGCCCCATCATCCAGATCATTAATGAAGATGTTAAACAGGACTAGACCCCGTACTGACCCCTGGGGTACACTGCTAGTGACTGGCCTCCAACTAGACTTTGTGTCACTCACCACCACCCTCTGGTTTGATTACTCAGCCAGTTTTTAATACAACCAAGAAAGCCAGGAAAGCTGGGAGCTTGGAATGTCATTGCTCTGACCTCCTTCTCCCAACCGTGAGGAGATGAGACCATCACTCAGGGCTTTCTCCAGCGGGGTTTTGCAGATCTCCAAGGATGGAGGTGGGTTGAGCCGCTCACCCCCAGCCCTCCCTCAGCTGTCCCCAAGGTTTGTTCCCAGGCAGGCTAAAATACCTTGCGTTTTCTGACTTTCTGCTCATACACTGGTGGAGGAAAAGGTAGTCCTGGGGGGCACTGGCAGACAGGGTGCTCTGGAGGTGGCTGGCGGGCGAGTCGAAGGTGAACAGGGTGGGCTGGCTGGAGTGGGATGGCGCTGAGGACTTGCGCTCTCGCAGCAGGTGGTGGCTGGCACCGCTGAGCTCTGCCGGGGAGGACCGCGGTGCATGGTTCATGGAGGCGATGCTCCTCAGGGTATCTGTGCAGGAAAAAAAAAACCACCAGTGAACAGCCCGAGCAGTGACCCACAGCCTGTGTTCCCAGGGTTTTCCTTACTTAAATGCTCTGGAATTTATGGAGGTCAGTGGGGTTTGCTTATGGCTCTGAGTGATGCACTCAGCAGCAGGCTCCTCTACGTGGGGCACATGCAACTATAGGTACCATGCGGAGAAATAAATATTTTATCATGTTTTATCATTTTATTGTATTTTTATCACATGCTTAGTGGCTTGCAGGGGTGGCTGGGGGATGTCAGCCTCAGTGGCAGGGAGCTCAGTGTGTTATTAAAACCTGGTTAAAAAGGAAAAGGAAGATAAAAGCTTTCACACTGCAGCTTCTGCCTTTTCTTAGAGACCTTTTGTAAGTGGCTTTAGAGATGAGATTTGAGTCACTCCTATCCCCCTGTGTAAGGGCATCACTGCTATCTTTTTACAGTTGGGTAAACTGAGGCACAGAGTGAGAATGTGGATGGACATGACAGCAGAGATTAAAAATACTCCATTTCCCAACTCTCTATTAATTTTGTGACCTCAAAAGAGTTCCTGCTGCTTTCTGCTAGTAAAACGGGATGCAGACCCAAGGCGTGACTCCTAGTGCCTGCTCCCCTCACTTAAGGAGAAATACACTTTAAAATATTAAATTCATTTCTACAGTGAATATCCCCGAGCTCAGTAACAATTACCCGGCTACTCCAGCTTTCTAATAAGCGTGCTCCAAGAATTTGAACCAGGGATGAATTTTTACAGACAAGATGCAAAGCCCTATTACTAAAAGAAAATAAGAAAAAGAAACAAACAAACCCCAGAAAACCCACAGATTGCTCAATACTTTGGGAAAGCTGATGCATCTCTGGCTGTGGAAGATCATGCACGGTCTTCCACGCACTCCTGGCACTTGAAAACCACTCATCATGGTTCACTGAAGTCACCCTTTATGATTGCTGTGATTTACATTTATTTGGTGCTGTTGGAAAACACAGAAAAATCCCAAACCCTAACAAAAACGCTATCTTTCCCTCGGTAAATCCAGCCATTTTCTGGCCACCACTGATTTAGGGACTGCTCCCAGGTTTCCCCCAACACAGTCTCTCTGCTCCTCAAATTTGACTTCAGACACCCAGAAGAGAACCTATTCCAACACAGGGACGTATGGTATTATACAGATTTCCAATCTTTTTTCAATTCCTTCCCTCAAATCCCAGAGCCTACTGGAAATTTTGGCCCAGACCTTCTTACGCTGCAGAGAAATGAGTTCTCTGTGAAATGGCTGTTGTGGCTTGGACAAGGAGAGGCTCCACACGGGGTGATTTTTCACCGACTTCTGAATCGTGTCAAGATACAAAATCGATCTGTCTGCCGCTCGTTCACCGCCGCTACATTTTTTTTTTCCTGGCATTACTGCAAACTTCACTCGATGCAGAAAAAGTACATTTATAAAAGCCAAAGAGCGTGTCTCGACTCTGTTGTTTGGTTTGTGCTAAACACAGAAGAGATCAATATTTAACATTGACATTAATGGTGGGGGATGAGAGCTTAAAACTCCAATTCCTGTCTTCTTTGCATGGGCATTAAAGATCCCTTGGTGCTTTTCATGGGAGTAAATGGCTGTCTCGGTGTCCTTGGACAAAACAGTGCCTTGACCCTCATTCTTATTAAATATTTATCCTGTAGCAGTACAGACTGATCCCCACTGGAAAAGGAGACTTGACAGTTCTGCGAGTTCCAAATCTCAGTCCCAAATCAACTCCTTTGAGGTCAGCCAGAGTAGTAGAGCCCATACTCATCTTGCTATCAAGAACAGGGGTGTTGCACCCAAAGTTCCTCTCAGGAACAGCCCCCCAGTCCTGCTACCTCCTGAATCATGGCCAGGAATTGCCCATGACATTGGGCTTTGGCCAAGACTCCCAAAGATGGGGTGAGGATGGCACGTTAGTGTTGTGTCCCCATCCCTGCACGTCTTATGACACGTCTCACAACTGTGAGCAGTGCTGGTTTGGGGTCCCTCTGCCCTGAGCAGTCCTCCAACACCATCCCTGCAGGCTTTGCACTTGCCATTGCATGGAAAAGCTATGGCAGGCCAAAATACACCTGAAAGTTAGAAATTACACACGATTTATTCGTGTCAACACAGCCTAAAGGATGAGCTGGGGCTGCACAGAGGAGACGGTCCTCAGCATCACACCAGGGCACAGCAAATCAAAATCACACCATTTTGAGGAGCCCACTGAGTCCTGCACTGCCAGGAGACTCTAATCTTTTCCCAAAAATCAGTCTGATTTGGGGAAATCAGAAAGTGCAGCACAAAAGACACATTCATTGAAAGCAAGATGAATTACTCTGTGACTACTCCGACCGCATAAATGAAAACGGGGGACGAAGGGGAGCAGGCGGCAACGCCTGGTAAAAAGCCCGCCGCTTCCCTGGGGGAAGCCGCTCTATCGATGTCCGCATTGATTTTCAAAATGAATTCCCAGCTCGCTTCCCGCAGCGACCCGGCCACCAAAAGCATTAGTGGGAGCCAGTTCGGGACTCACGTACACCATTAGGTCTGTGAGATGAACTCCATAATAGCAGGTGAGAGATGGATTGTTTCACGGGGCTGGGAGGGTATTGCAAGGGCTGGGAAGATAAATTCTGTGGCTGCAGAAGGGGGCTGCGAAGATTGCTCTGAGGTTTTTTTTTTGTTGTTGTAGGGGTTTTTTCACTAGAAAAATGGGCAGCTCCTGCGCCCAGGTCACATGCTGACAGTGGGTCCTGCTGAGGGACAGAAAAGGAGGCAAGAAAGGAAATTGAGGCAGAAAAGTAGTATTTGATGACTAGTACATGCTAAAGGGAAAAGTCAAGGCATTTGTGCTCTCACATTGGCTTGAAACAAAGAGAGGTTCCCATGAGGGTAAGGCATACAGGGTGAATTATGAGCCAGAGGTCCCAAAGCCATTTCAACTTGCCCTGCAGCAGTGTCCAGCTCCCAGGCAATGAGGACCAACACTCCTTTCTTGTGTCCATGTGGAGCACTTAGTGAATAACCTCTAACGGGTCCCATCCGGATGCCTCCAGGCATCAGTCCCACCCGCATCATGACCAAAGATGCTCAAGTCAATCCGGCCATGAGCCAAAAATAATGATGCTGCTTCATCCCTCATGGCCATCCACCTCTGGGCCATGGATAAACCCTTGTCCCTCCTTTATTCAACAGGATAGACGTAGCCTTCAAATCCCTTGGCTTTATGTTGAGATCTTGGTTTATGTTGAGGGAATGTATCAAATACAGCCAAGGAGCGATAAGATCCTGTTCCAGTTCCTATTGCCATTCCCAGGGGGGGCAAAGTTAATGTTATGTAGTAGGGCCATGTGGGAAGTGTCATCTTAACCCCACGTTTCCTGGCCCGTTCTCCTCCGAGTTCAGGGAATTGGACTCTCACGGTCTGGAAAAGGCAGCATTGGACGCCCACAACTGAAAATTCGACGTCAGCAGCACGGCTCGCATGCATGCATCTCTCTGGGCTTGTGCTACAGCTGTTGTGCTGGTCCCTGTGAGAAAGTGAGCCAGAGGCTCAACAGGGATGAGCCAGCCCTAGAGAACCCCACGGTGTCAGGCAGGCTTCAATCGGGGGAAGGGTCAGCGCTCACTAGTCCAGGTTAAGATGCGCCTTTCTGGCCACGTGTTGCAGCAAAGAGGGGAAAAAACCATCCTTGTGACTCCATCCCCACAGCAAAAATACACAACTGCGAGCACGGCCGGCAACAGGATGGACCAGGCTGGGAGCCAGGAATTTTTAATGAATGTTTTCAATCCCCCAAAGCAGTATTTCCCTCCTTGCTGACAGCTCTGAATTCCCTTGCTTAGAGCGCTTGACTATTGCTGTGTGCCCGTAGCTTCACACAATGTTCCTGGGCTTATCTGAGCACAGTAATTACTCAGCCTCCTTTGGAAATTGTTGCTCAGAATGGCCTTTTTCACCAGAGTCGTGACGTCAGCTTTCCCCACCTGAAGGCAGAGGCTGGGACTACAACTCCCTGCAGGTAATGGACTTGAAATGATGCTCCTGGGAAGGTGGAGATTTTTGGGTGTAGCTGAATTGCTGTGCTCTCATTGATGGTCACAGCAGAGGTTCCAGGTTTGCTTGGCATCTCTGAGTGACAAGAAATGCCCCATGATGCCTGCACCGTGCTGGGAAGGGTGAGCTGGTCCAAGGGGCCTTGCAAATGAGGGCTCCTCCAACCTGCCCTGGCAAACACAGCTGCGAAATGTCGCAGAGCACGCTGCTGACTTTGTGCTACGTAAAACTCATGGCCAATGATATTATTTTTTCAGAAGGGAATAGTTGGATCGAGAGCAGCCCCAAGGAAAAGGATGTGGGGGTACTGGAGGACAAAAAGCTGAACAGGAGCCGGCCGTGTGCACTGGCAGCCCAGAAAGCCAACCGTATCCTGGGCTGTATCCAGAGAAGTGTGGCCAGCAGGTCGAG